ATATAATGAATAAACATTAAAATATAAAAATAAAATATGGTACAGTTTAACTTAGGGTGCTTTCACACCTGCCTTATTTAGCCTGGTTGAAGTGAACTCTGGTTCATTTTTCTCCTTGGCACGGTTCGTTTGGGCAGGTCTGAACACAGCAATCACAATCGGGTGTGGACCAGAACAACCGCACAGAGACCTTGTCTTGGACGTGGTCTTGGTCCGGTCCCAAATGAATTCTGGAGCGGTTTGTCTGTGGTGGGAAAGTGACCCGACCTTGATTTGGACCAACTACAGCACAAGGAACACTCTGCAACTCTAAGCTAAGTGGTCCAGCATGGCGTTGAATATATTCAATATTTGATCCCTTTATCTACTCAGTTGACTGCAGACTGTATTTTTGCTGTGTGAAAAGAAACCAGACCAAGGAGAAAACAGGCCAAGTATACAAACTGGTCCACTGATTTGGACTAGTGTAAATGAGCTACAGGGTTGAAGACCCCCCTTTATCTCACCTGGTGATGTTTGCTGTAGAATATGTGTCGGTCAGGTAGTGAGCAAGGCAGGCCCACTGAGGATGACTCGTGGTCAGGTGAGGTATAGCATGGTCTGAAATGACAGGCGACATTTTGCTCTGCATTACGAAAAGTGATCAAAGGAATTCTAAGTCAGATGAACAAAAGAGAAACATTTACACTAGGGTTAGACTTTAGGTTAACTCCATCGAGTTTACACTTACTAAACTAACATTTATTTTATACACTATAAATAAAAACTGAGGTAATATTTTAAGCCATTAGCTCAACTTCTGCAAACAGTATCTTAGAATTCATCCCACAACATAAGTCATATGCTTTGTAAAAGAAAAAGAAACCGGTGGGACCAGCAGGGTGAATCCTCTCTTTCCTAACAGTCTGCACACAGTGACAGCTCTGCCTGCTGCCAAACACACAGTGAGTTAACCAGCACTTAAGTCAGCAGCATCTCCCTGAATGAGAAAACAAAACACAACTCAGAAATAGCTGAAGCAGCAGAATGTCACACGTGAGACCAAACACAGATGGGCCGTCTCTGCAGAGCCTGACTCGAGTCAGGGCTTTCATGGTGACGATGTTGTTTGTTTAGCATCCATTGTACACTTCCATAAGGTCTCTGGCTCATGGCAACCAGAGCCTCAGTTAATCCTAACATCTCAACTGGAATAAAACTGCAGAGTTTTACGCTCGCAGAGGAAGAAAGGCAAAAGCATTTTTCCAAAAATGGGACAGTCACCAACTTGCTCTCACACACACACATCTAGCTTTCATTTCCCATCAGCCCTGACTCACTGAAGTGTTTCATGTGTGTTGAAAGGCAACAGCTGGCTGCAGTACACATGGCATTATAAAACACTTATGGAAGACGAGCCTCGCAGCTTCGATGCAGATGTGACACTGAGAGCGAGCGATAATTTGTAGAAAGGAATTGTTGTTTCACACATAAGTCTTCAGAGGATGAACTAGTGATTTTTCCATCAAAGCTGAGTCATATGAAGACTGAGTGGTCCAGTGGGAGCTGAGGATGTGGCTACACTGTTCAGGAGCAGCAGGCGTGACTGCAACTCTGTAACGTATGAAAGTGGCAGAGCATTTGGTGGTCATGTTGTTTTATGTTTGAGAAGTGCATGTGTTTTAATGCTGAAAGAAGTGTTGTTATTATTACTATTCATTAATATCATGAAAAGAGTCAAACATCTGTGTGAAGGTCCCGTGACTGTCATGACATGTCAGGATTAGCTTCAGCTATCTGACAAACGTCTGACAGAAAACCTGCATTGGTGGAGTTTCTAAGATGAGGGCAACAGGCAAAGGGGGCTGAGTAACAGTTGCTACAGAGTCGCACTGTGAGCAAATGTAGGAGCTGATGTTTTTGAAGCTCATACTATGGATCAAAGTCTGGATATCATGGCCTCTGCTGCACCAAGTTTAATTATGCTTTGTTAAATAAGTCTTGTAAGTCCCCCAACTTTATGAAATATAGTTTTTCCTTCTTTAAGATGCACCAGGTGAGGTTATAACAAACTAAACAATCTCAAGTTCAAAAGTTTTAAATGAATGAGTCTATTAATAATGTTTATTGCAACCTAGGAACATAATTTAAAATCTACAGATCCACATAGTATAAAGATGTATCAGTCTTCATATCCAGTCGTTGCCTGTTATTCCCATAAAGATTTTTAAAAGTTTAATATTTGCGACTGACATCAGGGACCAACAAGTAAATTGCATGTAAATACACACAAGATTTACGAGCTTTAAGGATTGTAGTGTGAAAGTGCACTTGACAAGTGAAATGGAGGGGAAATGACGGTGGCATGAGAAAACCCACCTGTACAACATTAAACTGAAGACCTACCTTATCAGGACTGATAAACTCCAGTTCCCTCTGTCTCCATCCAGGATCCCACAACTCTGCGGCTTTGTCCTCTGGTTTGCCAATGTCAGCACAAACTGCGCTGCATCTAAACAGCGTCCATGTTTGTTTTGGTACAGGATCGCGCGGTCATTGGCGTCATCTCGCTGGATTTGCAACATCGTCCACCGCCGGATGTCACAGCTGTCGTGTGTTGTCCGTAACGATTACTCAGTCGTCAGGTGTGTCCTCCACTTCCCACGGTTTGCCCTCACCTTTAGCAAACTCTGCTCTGTGATGTGGTTAACAGCTCCAGAACCAGCGATCAAGCGCAGCTTAAGTTGGGATTGTTGACCAATGTCAAGCTCAATCAATAAATAACTGATTTATCATTTAACACTGCCATGCATGTAGGCTGCTGCATCTAGCCTCTGTAATGTGGAGATTTGCCCTTTTATTAAATTACTGTCTGGTTTAATTGACTATCAGACAAATTAAACATTCTGACACATTCTGTCACTATCTTAATGTAGGCCTATACATATACTGTATATATATATATTTAGAAGAGAGAGAGAGATGTCAAAACAGAAACAAATAACTGTACTGACTGACCCTGTTTACAAAAACTGACCTTACCATATTATTCATTAATGTTTTTTAAAGGTTTCTGGGGTTTTTGTGTTTCGATTTTGGAAGCAGGCAGTGGGGACTGAGTGCAGAAAGAAGAGGGAGCCAAACTAGGGCTGCTGTGATTATATGAACATGTGTTCAACTGCTACTGGGACAGCCAAACTGCTGGTATAAACAAGTCAGGACTTCCTACAACTGAAAGAAACCCAGTGTTTGCATCAGAAACTGGAATTTCAGTGTTTATTCAAGTTAGTTTTTATGTTGGGATGATATTCCCTCTTATCATTTATGTCTTACATGCACATTTACAGATACATCAGTGAAAGAGTGAAATGTGTCCTTTGCTCCACCACTGAATGTGCTTTTAATTATGAGATGTTAAATCAAACGTTGAAGCTGTTGAGCCTTTGAAGGGCTGAAGCTGTTTGGTGACACTGAGGCTCAGAATAATTAGTCTTTATAAACAAGCCTTTGGGAGGATTTGTAAAGAGGAACTCTTTGTTTCAAACACAGCTCAGCACCAAACGTTTTTATAAATAGTAGGGAAACTCTTAAGTCAACATGGAAATCATCTTAATGGGAATTATGTTTTGATGACATTTCTGGAGTCAGGGAAAAAAAGAAATGAGTCAGCACTCCACTGGGGCTCCATGAGAAATCGAACGGTGCCTCTTTCACACCTTCATTCAAGATAAATCAGTTTAGTGTGCAGATGTGTAAAACACATTATGGCTGACATATTGGCACAGCAGTCTTGAAAATCACTTTGTTCCAGTCTGAACTTTGCGTCTTCATGATTTTATGAAGTCTACGTGTGACTACGTTGCAGCGTGGCTGTCCACAATGAGAAGCAGAATCATGGCAGCATGGTTCGTGTTGTATTATCATGTCATTAGTAGCACAAACAGCTCACTGCTTTCTGAAATAACAGCCATTTGAGTCAACAGAAATATCATGTGCTGTGTTTTGTGAGGGGCCATGTCCAATAATGTAACGCACAATGTTCATGCTTAGGATATATGCTGCAGTTAATCCTTAGACACATCATAAACCACTCTGCCATCCTGCACAGTCCAGCAGCTATCTGGACAATATCCAAAAACAGCACTTGTGGAAAAAAGAGATCCCCCCACCCCCACCCCACGAGTCTGGCCTTGAGAAAATCAGGAAGACAGTTTCATGTCAATCCTCATGAGTGTTTTACATCTTACTATACTGCAGCACAATGTTCCCTTTGTGTGTACAAGCCTGTCCTGCTCACCTATAATGATATCTTTCAGACCCCACCATGTCACACCAGAGGAGACGCTGTGAGGTTTATTTGAATTCATCTTCTATTTACTCGCCCCACTGCCGACCCACGCTCTCATTATCATTGTGAGTGTTTTCATTATCTCAGCACTGGTGTGGTACAGCCTTCCCAAAGTGGCTTCGGTCAACAGAGCTCTCTGCAGGACCAAGCCCCTCTGTGAGCTCAGAGTAATTTACCTAGATATGAGCTGTCACTCTTCGCCGGGTTCACAGCTCCCTGCTTTTTCTCTCGTGGCCTCTCTCCCCTTGATGACAGAGAAGATAAGCATGTTGCATACCGAATCACTGAGCTATGACAAAAAGGGGTTCTGCTCAATAAGCCAGATGTAAATAATTGTTAAAAGCAATATAGGGCCCTGCATCGTGGAGTCCGCTTGATGTTTTGCTTGGCTGTGAGCAAGGTGGCTCAGTTTCATTTGGGTCCTAAAATGCATTTTTAAATGTTTTGTTCAGTTTAACTCAGTATTATTTAAAGACTGCAGAGAGTGAGCCCAGAATATGGAATATCCTCCCATCCAACTCATTTGGGATGGGAGGTAACCTGAGCTTGAAGGTGACTATTTTTAAAAACACTTTCATGCATTTAAATGAGCCGCTTACCATTACAGGAAAGAATAAGTTTCTAAAGCAGCCTTTAAATAAATACTTTTTATTCTGTTATTGGCTTTTTACAGATACAAAGCGTACAGCATGTTATAGTTTTATCAAAAGTGGAAAATACTGGTGTTACATATGTAACAAATGTAAAAAATAAGTCATCAATCTTACTTTCCCCGAAAGTAAGAACATACATTTCAGCGTATGAAAATATTCATAAAACACAGCTTAAGTAATTTAAGTTAATAAACAGTACAAAAAGTAGAAACCATACATGTCAAAATAATGGACAAGGACACCAACAAATGAGTCAGTGATTTCTCATGAATTTAAAAAAATGTACACAAGTTCATAGTGTTTTAGTTGGGGCCATGTTTATAGGATCCATACATCATCATTATTATCATCATCATCGTTGCCTGAAAAACACTTGGCTAGTCAGAAAATGCAAGTACGTGACAAACTAGCTACCCACCTCCACCCCCAAACCGTCCTCTCCTACTGAACTTAGGCCAGAAAACCAGGAAAAGTCCTCCCCTGTACTGAAATCCTCAAATGTTTGTAAGGCAGGAGACTTGATTAATCCTCACTCGTGGAGCGTTTAGCCAGTCTTTTGTGAGAAAACATACCAGGGCAAAGGCAGCCAGACTGAAAGGGGTTCATAACATCGGTGGGGTCTACAATACCGTGCGAGTAAAGTGGCACACTTACTTTCACAAGGAGGGTTGTGTCCTGTCAGCTATAGGTGCACTCAGATCAAACACACATGCTTCCTTTTAAGTACATGAAAAATTGACCCCTAAAAAGAGACTCTCTTCCTGTGAGCTTTAATATTATCGACCATCTTATCTCTCAGCTGCGAATGCGACAGAACCTTTGAGAAAAGAGACTCAATACTGGTAATAAAGAACAGAAATATTTTATCAAGATAATATGAACAAAGCTTTGCAGTCACTAAATTGAATTCAGACATGGATTTCTTTTTCTTTGTTGAACCATTCTCTGTCAATGGATATGTCAATGTTGTAATGTGATCTCAAAGAGATGAATGCACAGTTGTACATTTGAGTTAGGACCGAGAAAAGACTGGTAAACTGTTCCAAGGTAGCTAATGGCAAAATCTGTGTTGTCACAGGTGCCATTTTTCTGCCTTACTACATTGAAAGTCGTCTTCTGCATAATGTAAAGAACATGAAGTCCAATGACAAAATATACAAACTTCCTCTTTTTAAAAATGGAGAACATCACCATAATCTACAACATCATAATAAATAGTCTCATACATATTGCTCAGCTTCCCCTTCGTTTAGAATGGTCACTGAGCCATCGCCACTGTTCATTTCAATGTCTTTTGCTGCCGCGTTCTCCGGAAGCAAAGCTAAGTCCTTGAACACATCTACATAATGTCCAAAGCCGGGGCCCCAGTTCAACAGATTGTCCCAGTTGAAGCCCCCGGCTTGCTGGCCCAGTTTGTGGGGCAGGGTGTAGTGCTGATCAGTAGGAGGTATTTGGGCAACACCAGGCCCTCCTTCTGCCCTCCGACTTGAGTACCGCCTCTGCTTGAGCCTCCCATTGTAGTCCTCGTCGTCAGCGTCTGATTCGTTGACTTGAGAGAGCTTAGGGACCCGGGAGCTGTAAGACACCGGCTTGTCCCGGTCATACTCCATCTCCGAGCAAGTGAAGGAGTCATGCGAGTCACTTTCTGAAGACGACTCTGGTGCCGGGATGCCATCAGCGGGGTTGCGGACCCTTGACAGCGGCCTGCGGCAGTCCTCCTCTGAGCTGGAGCGCCCGTGGTCAGCGCTGCAGATACTGGGGTTACGTGGCCGTGGAGTGTTCAGCCGCTCCACTTCCTCAATGGACAACCCCACAGGAGGTCCTGTCTCTAGGGGGATCTGCTCAATCGGCTGCTTCAACCGACTGCCAGGCCGTGCGGTGTGGCCATGGCTGACCATGGTTTGTGGACTCTTGCTGCGCCTTCCCAGGCGAGTGGCATAGTTGAACATGGGTGGAGGCTGGCACATGTCATTGTGGAGGTCCAGTGGGCTGCCCTCACGGCGAGCCAGGTTGAGTTCTCTGGTTGGAGTGTTTCGGTAGAATGAAGAGGGCTTGGTGAACGGGGCTGGAGAGTGTCTGGAGAGAGGGTTTGGTGTGGGGCAGGCTGAGTGGGAGTGGCTGAGTGGGGTGGACCTCAGTGCTTGGGTGTACTGAGGCTGGTAGGTGTAGCTTGTTGCGCCGAGGGGTAGAGGGGACTGTCTGGCGAAGCCCAGTGGGCTGTGTCTCTGGATGGAGAACTTGGGCGTGTGGCTGCGGAACTGCTTGTAGTGCTGGATGATGTCTGCATCTGAAGGAGCAATACTGCTGGCGTTGTCTATGTCATAGTGTTCAATGTCTGCCTCTGGGCCATTGCAGGGGGCACAGGGAGCGCTGGGGACGGTCTCATTGTTGTGGGGAATGTCTGTTTCATCGTAAATAAGATAAGGGTTCTCCCTCTCAATGATGTCCGGTTTGGGGTTCCCTTCTGGTTGTTTCCGCACCGTCATGTCATCTCCATATGGCGGGATATTATCTGGGTCATCAAATGCAACATTCTCACTGCCCTTCTTCTTTTTCTTCTTCTTCTTTTCCTTGGGTTTTTTCTCCTTGGGCTCCTTTGGCACTTTGGTCTTGTTGCGGTCCTTGCAGTGGTTGCAAAGGATCAGGCTAAGAACCACTAAGGCAAGGACAGTGGCACAACTGCCAACAATAGCAGGCACTGCCCAGATGGGGAGGACCATTATCTCTGTTGTGGGGCTGGGACTGCAGACAAACCCACCATTGTTGGCTGTTTTGCAGACAGTGCCCTGAGGACACTGGACACCCAAACAGGCCACCAAGGTCTCACAAGTCTTTCCTGTGTAGGCCTCAGAGCAGACACAGGTGAAACCTGAGAGTGGGTCTGGTACACAGCTGCCTTGGTTCTGGCAGGGATTTGAAGCACAGTCACCAGGCGGGACACACTGGTACGTGAACCACTGGTTGACGCACATTAGTCCCTCCCAGCATGGGTTGCTCTCACACAAGTTAGGACCTCTGCAGCCAATCTGGACAGACGAGCTGGTTTTAGTTAAGCTGACAAGGCTGTGCTCACCAGTAAATGGCAGGTTCTCCCCGTTGTACTTCACATAGGCCAAGCAGCCATCAAAACCTGCAAATGCACGAGAGAAAAAAGTGGCTCAGATAACAAGAAACAGCCATTAGCAGCTAACAAGGACATAACAGTGGCCTGGAGAGGAATCATTTCCGATTGCCACCAGACTGTTTTTAAAAATGTCAGCCGATGCTGGATCGCTTCCTCATAAATAAGAGGAACTGGGAACTATAATCAGAGCTAAAGGAATTTTGTTTAGATGGATAATTGGTTCAAGCTTAAGGAAAAAAAGTGAAATGTCCTTGTTGAAAGTACCTCCTCAAAAAAATCAGATTTAAAAAATGGGTAGAATCAATCACTGGCAAATTTGAGAGAAGAGATATGAAATATTTTCTAATAGAGAATCCATCGCCAGAGCCATTATAGCTTCAAGACATACATCTGGGTTGGATGAACGTCTCTGTGTCTAATTCAATCTTTTGCTTTGTGCACTGCCTAACAGCACTGCCTCACTGATGTAAATAGATTTTTATTGAATTTATCCCAGTGCAGATTAAATCCATTTGTGTCTTTTCATTAGCTCTTGTAAAGTGAGTACACAACAAAACACGAATGTACAGACTCACACTGAGCTAAGGGTTGGTCAACAGGCAGCCTGCCACAGACCTGCGTGCTCAGAATATGTTTGTCTTGAAATATGCCCCGGTTCTTGTGTAAAAGACTTCAACAAATCATTCAAATTGCTCATTTTTACCATATTAGTCCATAGTATGAGGTTAGTTTTCCCTCCCCTGAAATCCTGAAATTTACTGTGTTGCATTACCTCCCCCTGGAAACCCTCTCTTTCACCTTTTCTAAACTGTTCTCAGCTCATGCTCCAGGACATCTGATCTGTGATTTAAGTCTAAACTAAAACAAGAGTCCATGGCAATAAGACAAAAAGACAAATTCCCCTAAGGCAGATGCTGCAAGATGAAGTCAAATTAAATCAATTTTATTTTGTCCATAACTGATGCATTGATAACAAAACATTTATTCAACCACTGTAAATCCATAGCAGGTAAATCTCAGCAGTGTGAAAGAGAAACAGCTTTTAGGCCAGTTTCACAGAGTCATGTTGGAAGGCCACCACGGACGGTCAGCAGTTTGAACAGCAGGCTATTAACTCATTTAGGAAAACAAAGTTGTAATGGATTTATAAGGGGTCACGAGTTCATGCACTGTATGTGCATGTGCACACATATACAGCATGCTGAGGAGATTTCCTTCACTTGGTAAAACACTGTTGCAGCAGGCAAAGTATGAGTGAGTTTCCAATTCTTGAGAACATCAGGTCTTTGTGTCTGACGGAGCTGGGGGTTTAACAGCCTTGCACAGTTGTGGTAATGAGGAAGGGGAAAACACTGCTCTTTTACTTTCCCAGCCCAGATTTAACCTGCTGCTCAGGGATCATAAACCAGCCACAATCTGATGACACTCTCAAGTCTCACCTGCTGCAGTTTTCTGCTGCGCAGGTCCAGGTGGGATCCCTCCCAGGGAAAAGGTTAAAACACTGAGACCACCGAAGTCCTGTGTAGCATGCTGGATGACCCTGGAGTGGCCGCCGTTCACCTGGAGCACAGTGGCGGAGCTGTTCTTGACCAGCTGCAGCGTGTGCCACTGGCCGTCTGACAGCACCACGTCACCCACAGTCCGCTCCACCTTGCCCCCGACACCCGCATCTGAGATGTAATGGATGTTTCCATTCCTCAGCTAAGGGAGGAAACAGAGATGGAGATCGTGTGCGTTCACAATGAGCTCAACATGGGATAATGGGTAATTGGTCACATAGAAAGAATGTGTTGGCTTCTGTAAAAGCATATTTTCTACAGTGAGAGGCAAAGACAAGCACATTTGAATCAATGTCATAATGGATGAAAATTGTTTGATCTTATTTGGGCGGCTTTATATCATTATTATGCTACCAAAACATTCAGAATCACATAAACAAAAAGTACAAAATTTATGTTTGAGGGTACAACCAGGCTAGCAGCTCTATGAGGCTGTATAGCTTTGAGCAAAATGTTATCATCAGCACGCCAACAAATACTCAAAATGCCAATGCTTACATGCAGATGTAAGTTGGTATAGTGTTTACCACAGTCACCATCTTCAGTTTAATGTACTAGCATGATAATATTTGCTAAATAGCAGTAAACACAAAGTATGACTAAGGCTGATGGGAATGCCATTTGTTTTGCAGGTATTTTCTTGTAAACTAATCTACCGTACTAATGAAAATATGAACCTAATGATGGCACTAGTAAAGTTAAGCAATCAGTTATTACAGTTCACCCTGAGGGGGACATGGATTTCACAGCAATCCATCCAATGACCTTTAAAACATTAGAACAACAACATTGTGGCCCTAGAGGAAAACCAGATCAAAGTCATTTTGATTCATCCTCTGGGAACCATGATGTATGTGTAGCTCAATCCACCCACCAGCTGCTAACATATTTCAGTCTTGACCAAAGTGGTGGACAGTGAACAGGTCTGTGTACCCCAACAGTGCACACAGTGTATGTTCAGTAAGTTAACTAAGTATAGTAATATCTCTCAGTGTTAATACAGTATTAACATTAAACAGCATATCATAGATTAGACAAGATAGAGCCTGGATAAGATGCAGGTCTACATAAACTAGGGCTAAAAATGCTGTTTGTCAGATTAGTGCAAAGACTTGTGTCAGCATCAATGACAGGAAGTTTTGTCTCAGTCTCCACAAAGCTATCACCACAGTCCTCTCAGAATCTGCTGCTGAGGTCAGCGATCGAACACAGGAGTGCTGCCTGATGCTCATAAATCTTTGTCCCAGCAGGACACACTGCAGTTAATCATATTCTCACAACTTGTGTGTGCAGCTAATGTTATTCAGCTACGTGAAGACCAGAAGCTTGCCAACTCGCAAACGTAAAAGAAGAATTTCCACAACACAACAAATCCACAGAACATGCTCATGTAAACGCCCACTGGAAAAGAAAAGAAAAGAAAGGACAGCGAGCGTCTTTAAAAGAAATTAATCAAGTTCACTTTGCTTGGACAACAAATTTGCGGCTTACGCTCTGAATGGTAATCTCATATGTGTCCTCCCCACTTCTATGGAAAAGTAATCCTGTTTTCCTCCCTTTTCAAATACCTCAAAAATCAGTAATGATAAGTAGCTTCCGGAAGAATTGATTTGAAATGGGAAAAGCGGAAAGTCCCCCAAGCCAAAGACTACAGAGCACTGAAAACCTGGAAAACCAATCATGAAGTTTATCTATTAAACAGCTTGTTTTTATATCTCAGTATATGTAGTTCTCCCTCTCAGCATATGTACATGTACAGTATTTATCCCCCTGCTGCTCTACTTTTTTTGATTTGATAGCCCTTACAATACTTTTCAGGACTGTTTAGGAAGCTGTGATGGTGATTCAATGAGAACCAGAAGCTGCTCAGGGCTGGAAAACAAAATCGTAGGAGATACTAAAAAACCGGGAAGGGGTTGGTGGCAGTGGATGAAAGGATCTAAAAGGAAAATTGAAGAGGATGATTGAGTGCTCAGGATCAGCCAGAGAGAAGGGGTGCTGAACAGGATGAGAGGAGAAACAAAGAGGAATGGACTAAAGGGAAGGGGCTCTTGCAGTAGGCAAGAGTGTGTGAGGTGATGACTGGTGGTGCAGTGAAATGAAGGGGAAATTACAAGCACATCACATATGCACAGGGTTATTTAAATATCAGCATCAGTGAAAAATGAATGCCTGCCATGACTAGTTGGCTCTTCATCAGGATTATCATCTGACCTGATGAAGATCCAACTTTTTGAAAACATTTTGTGACTTGGAGTCAGTATGCAGGCATTACATTTTTAATAACACTGCTGTAACTACACTGAAACTCGTGGTGCTTCTTACTAGTGATGTGGGATAAAGCCACTGTGTTGACGTGGCACCAATTCCTGTATCATTGCTTTAGAAATTTGGGTACAAATCTACAACAACAGGCAAATCAGACAAATGTGATTCTGTTCCTGAAATCACTTCATATTATTTGCACAGAGCTGATACTTCACCAAACATAAACCAAAGCCGACCTATTCTTTAACATATCCTGTTGGTTGTTGTTAATTTGCCATTGCTGTTGTGTGCCGATAATGCAATCTCCAGATTTCGCACCAGGAACACTTGTAGCAATTTAGGGGCATAAGCCAAGGCCTTTATCATGAAACCACCCCCTGAGGTGCTGTGTTTCATTATTTAGCAGTAGTGAGAATTCACTAAACAGTGCATGAGAGCAGCATTTGGATTAACAACAGAAAGTCTGGGACTGTGATTATGTTTCTGTTCTGATGGATGGAATGTACATTATGATTATTTTACCACGTGAGCCATTGCAGTACTGTACAGCCTCTACACTGTAAGCACATAAAACAATATTACATTTAGACTTGGCCAGTATTTGAACATTTATGTTGTGTTTCTACATGAGGTACCACATGTCTGTATACTCTCTTACCTTCACAGTAGTGTAGTTGCTGCTCTCTTGCACATGCAGCAAAGTGCCGGTCTTGCTGCGTGTCCTAAACTTGACCTCCAAGCTGCTGGGCCTGACAGGGTCAGAGGTCACACCCTGAAGTAACTGTCTCAGCAGGACGTCACGTTTAGGGCCCTGCTTCAAGGAGTAGTCCAGGCGGCCGGTACCATCCAGGGACAGGGCAGTGTCTGCTGTCATGTCTGTGGGAGAAGGATATGAGAATATCTTCAATCCACTCACAGAAGATTCATGGGCAGTGCTGAAACCTCTATTCTGCAGCTGGTGGACTGTCAGGTACTGACTTTCCTAATACAACTGCCATTTCCACAAATTGGTCCTTACAGTACATTCTCACCAGTGATTACAAACCTCTTTGTATAACTGAAGGTCAATCCCAGCTGTGTGCAATGAAGACTACCAGTCAAAAGTCTGTACACTTTCCCCATCAATTCAGTTTGACTAGCAGTGCTGACAGAGGAAAAGAACTGCACTTGGAACGTAATTGTCATTTCCAAGACTGTTGGCTGTATTAATTTGCTATTTAAACCTAGAGCCAAAAAATACCCTTAAATTATATGCTGTGTTGCACCATTACACTTTCATAAACCTTGCTCTGCTAGAGTTTAAGCTGCTTCACAAAACAGTCTGTCGACAGTTACAAGGGAGGAGTTCATGGTGCAAATATGTCTTTTGAATAAAAGCAGTAATCCTATTAGTGACCAAATTAGCTAGCTTGTTAACTGACCATTAAGAATCCACCTGGCTTAGTTACCTATTGTGGCTATATTTATACATAGGATTCTTAAATCAACAGTCTTTGGTGCATCAGTATGCACTTGCTATAGTTGAGATAACCACAAGAACAAAGTCAAGATGATTGGCAGCCTCTGTGTGACACCACTGGTATTTGTATTAGAAGAAAAATGCTCTGATCCTGTTTTGAGTCATAAAGGAAACCAATGAATTGCCTACAAAATCAAACATGATGGCAAACAGAGACAAAAACAGTGTGGACTGGGGTGAAAGGCCTTGGTTTACTCAGTAATGATGTTGCTTGTTTTGTTTGAAGGTATCCTAAAAATAAAAGTGGGAATAATTACTGGTAGCATTGCTAAACATATTCCTGCATCTTAAACAGTAGCTCTAACTGCCTGTCCATTTCTGTGAGCCTCAAATACTTTGAAATGAAGCGCAGAATGCAACTTCGTGGCCTATACTGAGCTACATGGTGCAGTGTGATGACTCATGATGAGGGAAGAATCATAAATAATCATGCTAGAATATTTCTTACCTAGTGTGACCGCAGCAGAAAAAATATACCTCAAAGGCATATACATGTACTTACATTTCTCACAGAAATTGCCTGTGAAGCCATCCACACACTGGCACTGCTGCCAAGACCAGTGGTCCAAACAGGTGCCCCCATGTCTGCAGGGGCTGGCGGTGCAGGCTCCTTCTAGTCTTGGACATCTACAGACACAGATACAACAGCACACAGACTGACAATCAGACAGGGAGTTTCACAAGTCAGCTGCACAGTCAGTAGCCGACGGATCTGCCGATTAAGAAAAAAAAACCCTTTAAAAATCTGCCATTTGTATTAAAAAAACATCTTTCTAAAAACTCTGGAAAGGGTTTGAGAGTGTGAACAGACGTCCCACAGTGAGAGCTGAGGAGGTTAGAGGAGACAGATGGGAAGAAGAGGGAGAAGATGGAGAGATGGTAAAAGCTGGATTGAGGGAACAATGAGGCTGGGGGTGCAAACCTGTCAAGGATTCCCCGCGATGCCAGCGCCTGACTCGGCTCCAGCGGGCGGCCATTGACGGCGAACTCCATGATGCAGCCCACAAAGTCGTGGGTGGCGACCTGAGCACGCCGATGAAGGACAGGTTCTATTGACCTGACGCCTCCCACCGAGAGCCTGTTCGGCTGCACGTCCAGGATCCTGCACAATCGTGAACACACAGGTCGGTGAACAGAGGTTCACAGATACATATGGACAGGTATCGAAAAGAGGCATGTGCAGAAAGACACACGTGCAGAAAGACACAGAGGGTCACTGAGGTTCACAACAGCATGGTTACAAAATAAACCTTCAGCACACCTCTGTCACCCTTCCTCCACACACACACTAGCACACATATGTCTGAAAACACATGCAATGCCTCATGTTTCGTTTCTATAGAATTTCATGTTTAAAAGAATACTGCAGTGAAAAACCCATATTAATCATGTTTCTTTAAATTCAGCAGTAAAAATTAAAGTAACTCTTGATGGAAACCAGCAGAGCTCATATAAATCTGCAAACATTTCAGTGCAAATGTTTGACAAGTTGACTGTCTAAGAAGCCTGAAGTCAAGGCTCAAGCCCAGTGTGGCTACATGGTGACACCAGTAGGGGTCACGACCCTCAGTATGGATCATAAGGTAAATCTGAGGGCTTTGCAGATGATTAACAGGTCAGGAAAGGAGAAAAAACTGCTTTTTACTCTTGTGAATGACTGAATAATTCTACCTCCTAACACCTCTAAAGGAGAAGAGACAATAAAAGACTGTTTGCTTTGATCTGATCTGGCTTTGTTGTAAGTGAACACAAGTCAAAAGGGCCCGAAGCCTCTGGTTTACATCCACTCATGAGAAACACTGTATTCTATGTTTAAATAAAGATGCAACCTGCTGCTTATTTAGTTTTGATTTTCTGCTCAGAAGGATTGTAGATCATAGTGCAGTGCAACACTGGAAAATAGTAGGTACAAAAAATATTAGTCCTGTATTATTCTCCAATATTTGCCAAAAGTTTTATTATTTGTTGAGTTTTCTCGGCATTGGAACTACAACTGCCAACAGTATTTTATTAGATCCACAACAGGAACCAGCCCTGGGGAACAGGAACCTTTTGAGGATCTCAATTCTCGTACCTGTATTTCTAGGATCCAACCTAAGGTCTGTACTGATACTTGTACCACCAGAACAGTCCCTGCACTGAATGTTGTGATTGGTCAAGTAGCATTTTCTGCAGCACTGTTATACACTTAGCATTTTTAAAAACCCACAACATGTTGTTTGCTTATAGTTTGTGGTCAGGAACAATTAGGACTGAGCAGTCCAAGATGGACTGGCCTTGTGGTGAACATGCAAATCACAATGTGCTGGAGGAATGTTTACTCCTGGACATTACTAATGTTTCTGGAGCAATACCTAAGGAATACATAACTTAGTCTCTATTGAGACAAAGCAGCTGTGTACTGCTCTTACCAGTCAGTGTGTACTGCCACATTGCTCACAGCACAATAGCCTGGTTCCTGGTCCTCACCACACAGGTCCACAGTGAGGGATGCAGCCTGCGTGATAACAGGAACACACATATGTCACATGAGATTTTCTTTAAGAGTAACAGTTGTAAAAACACACTACATCAGACTGTTTGCAGTGGAAACTATTTCTGAACCAATTTTTCGTAGGCTACAGTTGAAAACACTGAAAACCAACAAGCCACATCGGCCGCTACCATTTTGTGTCAGATGGTGATCTACCAAACACTCAGTCAACATGAGTTACTGTTTCTCTGTCTTTATAACCAGTGCCATGTGGGAGTGAGCGTGCACCTTGGTTCAGTAAAAACACTGTCAGGGTTAACGTCTAGTCTGGATGTCCCTCAGCTTTTAGTTAAATCAATTTTAATCAGGAATTATTCATGAGGATGAACGATAATCATCTCGTCGACTGGGTTGAATATCAGTGGGTGGAGCCAAAGAAGCTCAAAGCTCGTATACTATAAATTGATTCTTGGTTTATTTGGGTCTCTCGTGATCTTTTTTGAATGTGGGAGAAAATCCATTCTTTAAAGTCATCACAATAACTAGCATCACAGTTTTATGATCCGAGCAAACGTTATCTTCATTTCTCATAACAAAACATTGCTTGCTGCCTGTTATGGCCTTAATGTTATGTTTTTAAAGGTCCATAAAACATTCCACACTAAGATTCATATTCATAGCAGTTCTTTTAAATCAGGCTTTTAATAGTGACATTTGGGGAAAATGTTTCTTTGCTTTCTTGTCCAGAGTTATTTGAGAAGTTTGATACTTCTGCTGTGTTGGTACAGTAAAGACAAAGCTGCTGCAAATTTTATTTTAGCATGAAGACTAATGATGAGAGAAGCAGCGTGTTTGGGTCTGTTCCAAGGAAAATAAATCACCTGCCAGCATCTCCATACCATGCTAATTTGTTTAATCTGAACAAAAATGTACAGTTGTACTGGGGTTATTATTTCTTTTAATCTTGTGAAAGATCTAATGAAGATGACATTGCCTATGTTAAATTACATTCTGTGACTGAGACCCTGAATGACAAGGAGTCTAGTTTAGTCTGTGTCATCAGTTTTTACATCACATACTGGTCTTTATGTTTATTTTTTTCTTATGTTTCAACATGCAAAAGAGAACAAGGTTTAAAAATCCCCAAAAGGGTCTTGTTAGCAGCACAACCCTCTGCCTAAGTAGAAATATACTGTGTTACCATGAGTGCTTGTCAGACTAAGTAGCTTCTCATGCACTGTGGCATTAACTTTCACTCCAGGGTTCTGGTTCCACCCACTGGTTTCTCACTGAGCATTTGTGTAACCAAGTCCTAGTTAGTGTGAGCTTTGCCCACCACAAGCCTGTAGGCCAATTATTTTTCTTCATTCCATCACAGTGGTGGCATACAGTGGATGCCATACATTACAGCAAACGTTTATTTCCTGTTAATGGCACTAAAGCTTTTGCCCAGATGTGGGTTCTACTCTTCGCTCTGTGCTCTGAGAGGGGACAACTGGTGAGGGCTGCCCAGAAAAGTGTGTGAAAGTGTTGAAAATTCAGGGCAATCATGCTCCCCCTCTCCTGGATGTTAAGTAAACACGGACCACACCAGCTTCTCTGACACAAAACAAATCACTCTCGAGCCCCCCCCCCCCCCCCCACACACACGTTCTCTTTAGCACACTCGAGACACATGGACACAAACAGCGAGGACTAACTTGTCTTGAGCATATTCGTGACTTTCGCTGACGCGCCATAGGGAACGTCACAACCACATGAACATTGTATTAATGACTGCTCCTGTGATCAAAGGCAGTGCAGCCATACACTGCATTTACTGTCAAGTGTCTCACAGTGTGATGGAAAAAACTGCTCTCACAAGAATCCCCCTTGGAAATTAATACCGAATGTAACAAAACGATGAGGAGTTTGTTTTTGTCACTGCAGATCATTGATGTCTCTGTTTCTAGTGGAATGGAAAGGCCACAGCACTGTTCCCTGTTGTGGTACACTCACAGAGTAACTGCTGTTACACATTTGTTTTGAACTTGTTTCTAGGACAAATAACTCAGCTAAAGCTTGACGCTTAGCCGCTGGTGCTAATCAGCTACAGTGAGATATAACCTGTTAAATTACATTTACAATCCTCACTCACAGAAGTTTTTTTTTCTGATTTAAAACCTTGATTTCATAGCTGTGATCTATTCCAGACAGTTACTGTCACAGTAATTGCTGTTAATGTGTTATATCACCCACATTTCTGCTGCCATACAGATAGTTTTGTTTTTATTTGCACAAATTTGGGGCTTTATGCTGCCAATACAAGTCAACAGAGACACATGAAATTTAAATTTGTGGTGCTCAAAGCACTGCAAACTGACATTTGAAGGATTCATCAGCAACCATTTTCCCCAAAAACCAACAGCCCTCCTGCAGGAACCCCTCATAAAATGGCATGTGAAAGTAATTTCAGAGAACTTATCGCGTTCTTTTTGATTTTTTGTAACTGTCATGTTCCTTTTACAGCCTCCCATTCTTGGCATCTATCTTCATGTCAAACCATCACTTTTGTGTTAATATTATGTCATTTTTTTCACATCCTTACTTTTGATTTATGGCAACGGGCTTGTAATTGTTTCAGTGGGAAGGTCGTCTCTTTAATTTTGTGACATTTTTGTGAATAATTGTTGTGGACAGATGACGTGGAACAGAAAGTCATATTTAGTAATGTGGGGCCACTGAGTATGCCAATAATCATATCTCACTAACCGATCATTTACGGGTGGCCTTCATCAATTTCAAATTTCAAATGAACAATTTGTGACAAGTAATGAGGATATAATGAATCCAACTTGAGACAAACTCTTGGAAAAGAGATGTCAGCTGATTAAAGATATGAATAAAATAAATCCTTATTTCACAGTATTGAAAACTACAACTAGTGAACCCACAGTGAATCTTCTGTTTAACAGGCAAAAACCAGTATTTACATGAGAATTATTTTTTCCCATATACACTGCAACACTTGCATTTCAAAACTAATCAAAATAGCAAAGAGAAATTTCTCAGACCAAGATTATAAAGACTTTGGGGTCGCATTGAATTAAATGCTAAAGCTACAGCTAATTCTTAGGCTAAATGCTAGCTATATTATTTTTGTAGGAAGTCATGTTTGATGAGTTTGGTGACTGTGCAGCATTAATGGTGCCAGTCACTAGTGCAACAGTACTTTAGAATACTGGGCCAAAATGGACGTCTGAGTTTTTTAGTTATGTGTCAACATCCTGCATCTTTTTTAAAAAAAAACTGTGACATTTATTCTATTTGACAATTAAACAGATTCAGGTGCTGATGATGATAACTGCATTTGTAAGAGTATCTGTGAACTCCGTTCCCTCGTATTACTTGGATCCCTCATGATGAAGCGGTCCATGACTGTGTCTGAGGTTTCCGTCTGCTTTTGACATTGACTCAGAATTCAGGCACATGAACTGAGAACAGACCTTAAGCCTGACCACTGAAATGACCCACAGCACCTTTTGCAAACACAGTGATCAGTTTCACTTTACACTGCCTGAGGGAGTTGGCACTTCAGGCATGACACGCACATTTTTCTCTCATTCTTCAAAAGCCGTGACACAGCCGCCTCTGTAATGCTCACAGTGCACCCTATGCAGGCGAAATCACAGTTCTCACTGTGTGCTGTATTCCTTTCCATCCCGTCTCGTCACTCTGCACCATCTCAAAACTGACAATTTAACGATTTTAGCAGTTTCCTATGAAACTCCCAGTGCACGAAGGGAATGACAGATTTGAAGTCCAGTAGGAGAGCTACATTATAGCAGGTTTGACAGGTCCTGGTTGGGGTTTTTTCCCTCTTTCCTTGCCACTGCACTGCTGGCAGAGAGAAGCCTCTCATTCAGAGCACAGTAGACAAATTTCAACCTTCAGGGCCATTTTAGATCCATGCATTTTAAATCTGAATGAGCAATAAACTATGAATACAAACCATGAAATGCATAAGTTGAGCTACTGTACCAGCGGTTTACATGGGTTTAATTATCATCTGCAAAGAAGAATATAAAAACAAATTTGGATGCATCTTTCTGCCATAAAAGCCCAGGACATGCATGCTATTTAATATGCACATATCCATACCATGAGACGTTTGTCAGATTTTGCTCACTGTTTTTGCTACTAGAACTATTAAGCCACTCAAGGAGCAAAAATGCACGATGAAAAACATTCAGCATGTGAGCTATTTTCTACCATAGAAATACCCTTACCATCCCAGCTCTCCTGGCAATGACCGTGTGGAACTGCCCATCAGAAACTTTTACCATGGTCATCAGTTTATAAGTTCCACTTCCCAAGTTGAAGGAAAAGCGCATCCGTCCCTCGAAGATTTCCAGAGCCAGGAACTCTGCTTTGTCTCCGGTCTGGTTATCGTGGTTGTACATAAGCAGCGCGTTGCTCTTCAGGGTAGCAAACTTGATGTATATGTAGTTATTGTTGGGATCCAGAGATGGAAACTCCATGTAAGAGAGCTCCTCAAAGCCATAGCTGTTCAGTTCACAGTGTTTTCCGAAAACCCCTTAGTACAAAAACAGACCAAAGGAGGAATCAGAGAAGAAGCCAATCAATGAATCACAGTGCTGCTGTGAAATTTTTGAGCAACATTATTTGTTCTGTATTTGGTAGTAACTAAGTAACTATCACTGCAGCCAGATTATAATCTTGCATTTTCAGAAATGTCCAAACTTCTTGATTGTGCCAAAAATGATGACAACAGCAATACAAAGTATGAAAAATGGAGACACAAAATGAAATGACAGTGTCCACATTTGTTTAAGAAATCATGGATTTAGCATGGGATAACTTTTCTTTAGTGAGGCTGCACATCCATAATTGTCCATCTTGCTTTTTCAAATTACCAGAGTTTGCTAACACCCCAAAAACTTTCCTACTGTTACTTACCAAATGGACAATGACAGTAATATCCATCCACCCGATTCTGACAGGATCCGCCATTAAAACAAGGGTTACAATCACAGTGATTGATGATGGAATCACACATTTTGCCTGGATTCACAGAACAACACAAATTAAAATGGATGGGGTGGCACATAACACAGGCAAACCCTGAGGGGAACACAGTTCACTTTCCCCACAGGCCAAGTCATGCAGGCCTTTCATCACCTCACAGCTGAGAAATGCACTGCAAAAACTCTGAGCTCAGACAAACTACTTAAGCTGGTAGCAAGCATTAAAGTCCCATAAAATACACATTTAGAATTATTTGCACTTGTTTTAGTGGAGTTTACATTATTTTAAAACTTTCTTTAAATAATCACTGTTATTTCGGAATGCTCTGGATCACTTTTTAAGAGATGACATCATTTGATTCAAAACAACATGTTGAAACTTTCACTGGATAAAATAAATGATCTCATTCAATTGGCAGATTCTTCTCACTAAGAGGAAACAGTTTGAATAACAACTAAGTTTGCATAAGGCTGTGTTTTTGCAGTGCATAAAGACAAATACTTGCAATGAACACAATTTGATTGTGAATGAGATGAAAGGTTTAACGTCATAAGGAATGGGATAAGGCCATAAAAATAATAGGCTGGGGTGAGACTACACGATTCCAGCATGGTACAATACAAAAAGACTGACACTGAACTCGTGCAAATATCATTTAGGCTGTAAATCCTGAGACACGTTGCTTAATGGAGACAGATTCTGCTGCCAAAAACCAGGCAGGGAAAACAGGAAGCTGAGAGTTCACTATGAGGGCATGTAAACTACTGTAAGTCAATAAGTGCAATTCTTCAGGAGGGTCATTTATCTTGATGAAACCTAAAGATTTGTGGTCATTTTTTATTGTCTTAATAAAAAAAGACAGTAATGACTTGACATGAGGCAAAGTGCCTGCTGCAGCCTGCTTTAAAAATGTCTTTCAGATGCTGCAGTCGGTGGCTGGACAACATAAAGGATTCAAATGACTCTTCTAAGTAATTCCAGTTAAAATCACTTCCCTTTTATCAAGGGTAATAATGCAATGTATTCATTACATTTCCTAACTAAAAGGCCTGTTTGGATCTTTCATAAAGCTGCTCATTTTTCATACCATTCAAAACACAGCCAATTCTGGAATCCTTGATTAGGAAATCCCCCTGTATACAGCTGGATTAGAAATACATCTGTGTGTGGTCATAGCTGCATGCACATGATGGCAGACAATGAAATGTGATACTAGTGAACTGTGTGTGAAGTCTGCATGCAGGTCCTGACTGGGGACAGCTTTGTATCATCTTTTTAATTAAAGCAAACATGGTAGGCTGATATGCATTGCAGCTGATAGCCTACAGCTAGTCATCTGAAAATGGGCTTTGGCAGCACTGCTTGTATGCTATGGTTACAACACCTCCTGAAAACATTCAGAAGCAAATATGTTCTTGGACACAAAATTAATGTGTGAGTACACCATTGGGTGAGTGTCACTGTGTGTATTTGTGTGTCCCCATGTCTTTTTCCCATGTCTAACATGAGTGATTGTGTGGTCAGGCATAAAATGTGACTCCTGTGAGTGTAGTACCTGCAAAGCCGGATTTGCAGAGGCAGTTGAAGCCGCCAGGAAAGTTCTGGCACAGGGCCCCATTCTTGCAGGGATTGGAAAGGCATTCGTTGATATCCCTCTCACAGGCCATCCCGGTGAAGCCTTCAGGACAGGTGCAGGAGAAACCCCCCACCAGATTGTGGCAGGGGGCGCCCTTGGGGGAGGGGG